TCAAAAAAAATAAAATAAAATAAATAGTGTTAGCCAATACTTTTATATTGGTAAAAAAATAAATCTAAGTTGTAAATAATATAAAATCAGTTTATATTTATTTATAAACTTACCTTATTTGTCAATATACACTAAATGTATATAATGACTTTGAAAGAAGCCTTGACAGTATATTCTAGCATATATAATTCGTTCTGTTACGGTCAATAAAATACTCAATAATCAAGATTAATCATCAGATAGATCATCATCTGATCCTGCCTCAAATTCGTCGTTTTCAAGTGCTTCATAACTGTAGTCTTCTTCATTCCCCACATTTTCCAGGGGCGCCTCAACACCCTGGGGAGCTACTGATACAGTTTCTGCAGATATATTTTGACTATATTCGGGCTTTAGATGATAACAATTGTTGTAATGACCTTTTTTGTCCAAAATTGCTATTTCATTCAACACCTCTTTAAGATAAGACTTTTCATAATAATTTAAAATTAATATTGGTAAATCAAGAAAGAATTTCATGCCGCAATTATTATTACCTCCGGCTGCTTTACATAGTCTTTAAGGCCTTTAAATGTCCAATATGCGTATTTCTCAAAAGCACCGAACAATGAATCTATGAGCTCGTTCTTCGGTATACGCGTCGTCTTTTGTTCCATTGTAACTTTCGGTTTCTTCGGCTAAAAAAATTAATACAATATATGAAGTTTATAAACACAAATGGCGCTAATATTTAAAAAGTAAATACGCACGACTAAGCTGCTGAATTTATCGCCGACTATAGACTGAGCGCCAGGCGGAACGTAAGCACCACGATTTTCATTTTCTTCAAGGAACCTTATTGTTCTTTCAGGTTTTGCTGCCAATAAGGTTCTTTCACGCAATTTCTTGCTATAATCGGCATTTACGCTGGGCCTAATATTGAAGTTTCCCGTTACTGTAGACGATAATGATACAGCTAAAAAGTAAAATAAAAAAGGATGATATAACGAATTTTCTTAATATCACAACTGGCAAACAAGAAAGGGAGATTATTACAATTAATTTTTCTGTCTTCGCAAAAACAGTAGTTATTTTGTACTTGCTGTCCTATAACGTCAAGTTCGTATTCTTTAGGTATATCATCGTGCCGTTCATGGTCAGCTAAAATAAGCTTATACTAAAAAGATAAAATAAATATATGTTTAATAATAGAAACTTTCCTTTTTAAAGGGAGAGTACCTGATCAGGACCACCGCTATTTTAAAAAATAAAGAAAATATTAAAAAAAGTTAATCACATATAAGTATAACAAATACTCAAAATTTATTTACTATGGGTCAGAGTAAACTTGAACCTTCGCAAGCTCGAGATCGTCTTCACTTATGTCGGCCCATTTTTCAAAAAGAAATGAAGGCAACTAATTTAAAGTTTTAATGAGGCGAATGGGTTGCTATAAGGAATTACTAAACAAGTACTAATACCTTTGCAATCCACGCTTCTTGCCTCACGCCGCTCATGTCAAGATCGCCTTCGTCTTCATCGTCATCAAACGCAATGTCAGTTTGTTCAATAGTCGGTTTTTCGTCTTCATCAAAACTTTCATCCATCGTAATATTCTTGCGGAACAAAATTTATCGTTAACTACAATAGCAGAGCCGCTTTTATCGCGATTTGAGAGTATCGTAGCATATCAGCTTTTTCAAGAATTCTATTGGCTATTGGAATAATTTACATTTCAATCAGACGAATATCATTACTAAGATAAATCGCATGGTTTTAAAAAAGTTGACTTTTCGAAAATAAAACAAAATGAGTAAGATTACTAAAGCGATGGAGTCGTCCTCCGACGCCGTGGATGCTGCAGTTCTGCGTATTGCAGAGCTACTCAGATCACCCGATGACTTAGTAAAAACTAGTCTCTTACGTAAAAGGCTTGCAATAGAAAAGGCTACCATTGATGCTCAACTAAAATCTGGTGTAAAAGCGCAATTAGATAATACTCAAGAAGGTATTAATAAACTAACTTCTTCTAGAAAGCAAATGTTCATCATAAAAGATAATATGCAGGCTATCGATCGCTTATGCTCAGAAGCACAGGATATGATTCAGCATTTTCCTCGGATTAACAAGGTGACAACAGATAACTTTATAATGACCATTTACAAAGGTAGATAATTGATTATGTAACATGTCCTGACATAACAATATTTGTTTTGCGTAGATTTCTCGAATACATCGTAACTTTGTTGCTACACAAGAAACAGCACAAAAATTGCAAGAAATGTATTCGACGGTTGATCAAATACAAAATTTGTTACAACAAGATAAACAAAATATAATGGGGCCTGCAGAAAATTTGTTGTTTATTCATTATCAACTTTTCAGACTTCAAGAATTTCGGGATAATACCATGCATCAGGCAAAAAATACATCACAAGATGATGTTATACTTATATTAGAACAATATTTCAGAAAGTTAGATGAATTGTCCAACGAATTTGTTGAATATCTTTGGACATTAACAAAAAACATGATTGAATTGATCAAGGTAGGTCAGGGATCTGTGATCGTCCGTGTAGTCAAAATTATCGAAACAGAGGAAAAAGCAGATGAAAGGGCAACTGCCGCAGAACATGCACGGTATAGTCATCAAGACCTCGCTACCAAATTCAAATCTATTCAGGCAAGTCCACGCGTCATTAGATCTTACCGAAGTCAATTTCAGGATAAGTTGCATGATTCTATTTCTGAATTATTTGAAAGTTTTTATAATGAACTTCGAGACGATCCTATGAGGTTATTAGATGAAATCGAATTTATATATGGTCATCTTGAGTTAGTATATCAAGAAATTGTCCCACGATTCCCAGCCAAATATAATATCTTTTCCGTCTTTGTTTTGGCATATCATCGGCATGTGTATAATATATTTGATAAAATCGTCAAATCTGATCCGGATGCTGGAACAATCCTGAGATTAATTAGATGGGTTCGCCAGTATTACAAGAAAATGAATAAAGAATTCCGTATTTCTGAAGACATTTTAGAACCTCCGTTGCTTGATGGAAATGAACAAGAATTGATTGATGATTACCTCAAACTGATACGCAGAAAACTTGATGAATGGATGAAAAATTTGATGAATGATGAAACGAGAGACTTTACGGAGCGTAATAAAGCTCCTGAATTAGATTCTAATCTATTATATGGACTTTCAGGTTCGGTTATTATGTTTCAGATGGTGAACCAGCAAATAGATGTTGCTGCACAATCAGGACAGGGTAAAATTTTAGCGGATGTGGTAAGAGAATGTGCAGATGTTATGGCTGCAACTCAAAAAACCTGGATGAGTTTACTTAAGTCAGAGTTGAAGAAACAAGTCGATAAACCAGAAGAAGCTCCTCCAGGATTTGTTGAATACGTAATTGCCTTGGCTAATGATCAAATTCGATGTGCTGATTTTACCGAAGCTATTGTTAATAGGCTGGAACCTTTACTTTCTGAAAAATATCGGAATCAAATCAATTCTGACCTAAACTCAACTATGGATGGGTTTTTGAATGTTGCTAAATTAGCAAAAGATACTTTGTTGGACGTAGTATTTAATGATCTTAAGCAACCATTCAGTCAATTCTATTTACCAGTATGGTACCTAGAAGATCCAATGCTACTTATCATCGAGACAATTAAAGATTACACTAATGATTTTCAGACTCATATGAATGAATATCTTTTGGATAGATTAATGTCCAATACTTTGGAAAGATTTATCATAGCATACATTGAAGCTATGCGGAATAAGGGCGCTAAGTTTAAGAAGCCAGATGTGATGATAAGAATACGAAAAGATGTCGAAACGGCATTCACATTTTTTCAACAACATATTCCCTCTCAAGAATTAAAAAGCACATTTGATATCTTAAGTAGGATTCATCAATTACTAGAAAGTTCTCGCAAAACAATATTTTTAGATTATTATGCATTGAAAAAAATTTACGGTGACATGCCAATCGGATTTATCGAAGATATTTTAATAAGAAGAGATGATTTAGAAAAGTCACAAGTTAAGGAAATTATTGAAACTATTAAAGCTAAAAGTAAAGAAACAGGAGAATTTAACGGAAAACCAACCATTTTTAGCAAGCTTAATTTTTAAAATAGCTATGTTTTCTTTATTGCATAATAGATATATACGTAGTATTTTTATTTATTATAGACAAATTTAATAATATTTAATTAAAAGCTTTAAAATAAATTGTTATTAAAAAAACAATTTTTTAATTTAAAATATACCGATAATGTAAATTATAATAAAAACAAATTGGCAAGTAATAGATTTAGTTTTTTTTTAAATATTACTGTATATTTTATATTTTTAATAAAGATTAAATTATAAAATTATACTATCCTTTTTTGATAATGCTACCTTCGCTGATTATTTTAATTTTTTACGATTTTAACTTTAATCGAAGATATATCAACAACTACTTGACCAAATTCGATGAACTTTTTTTTATTTAATTGTAGAAATCTGTAGAATTTAAAGAAAAAAGCTCGTTGAATTTTGTCAGGTGGATATCGAGTATCTTCGATCAAAAATTTTGTAAATTTTTGAACGTC